TATAGTCATCGCCCTTATTTTCTGATAATGTCGTGTATGGTCGCCCATACTTACAAAATTCGGAACGTTTATACACTAAAAAAAAATTAAAAATTATTTAAAAAATTTTTCGGCATGATGATTTGTATTAATCTTTTCAATTTTTGATTAGTAAATATAGTTTTCACTTAATAACAATATTACATAACGTAATCAATGTAATGCAGAATTTTAAAATTATAATTATTATTAAAATTTAAAAAAATGAAACAATTCTTGTAAAAATTCATTATTCATTGATAAAAAATATGTTCTTAAGACAATAGTGTCCTTATTAAATCGAATTTATAAAAACAAAAGCTTTTCTATTAAATAATGTCATAGTTTTATTGCATCTTTTTTTTTTACGATTCGAAACCGATTTTTTGCAAATGAGTAGTAGTTTGACGAAGAAAAAAAATGATGATTTACATTCTCCAAGGAGTCCTGATTTTAACTAATGAAGCATATTTTGCCATTAAAATGTAATTTCTCGAAATTTCATGAAATTAATTAAGTAGGGGAGGGAATGGAGAAGCTAAATCCCGCAAAAAATATTCCTAGTAGGATTTTCTAAAAACAAAAATTTAGAAAATAATTTCATTTATTTGTAAATAAGTCCTGAAAGTTTCATTAAAATCCGACAATTATTTGATTTTTGCAAATTATTGTCCCCAAATTATTTTTTTGCTAAAACACATCATGAATATTACATCGATCACTGACACACTGAACACACACACACACACACACACACACACACACACACACACACACACATATATATATATATATATATATATATATATATATATATATAAAACATGAGTTTTAACCAAAATTTCGAGAGTGCTGGAAAGGATTAAAAAAAAAATTACAAAATAATTTAAAATTACTTTGGTGTTTCCTCTTAATAATTTGTTTTTATTAAGTTTGAGGCCTTTTTTCATCATGCTATGCTGTTTTTGGCAGCAAATTATTAGAGGTCTTTATATTATTGATATAATAACGCACGTAATGGGAGACATGAGACTGGGAGTTTATTCATTTCTTACATAGATCACCCATCATCTCGTGACTTAGCAGGACTGTGATATTAGTACGCCATTAACTGGTGTACCCAATGTGAATAATTATTAATTAATTTTTGTTTGTAAACCGTCCGACTTTTCTTTAAATACTCCTCCTTATTTATGTGCCGTGTCCCCTCGTAGGCGATCATAGCTCTCCACAAGTGCTGTTTTCCCCTGTCCTTCTTGTCCTCGATATGCCCTGTGAGTGTAAAATATTCCAAACCTTCCTTCCTCATTATGTGGCCCAGGAATGTCAACTGTCTCTTTCTGATGTTAAGCATAAGTTTTCTTTTTGTTCCTATTTTCTCTAAATCCTCGTCGTTGCTCATATGTTCAGTTAATTATATCCTCAGCATCCTTCTGTAGAACTACATTTCTGTTGCTTCAAGTCTCGTGTTCATTTTTGAGACTGTGCAGCATTCATTGCCATATAGGAGGACACATTTACTTAAGTACTTTTTTCTTTGTTTCTAACAAAATTTTCTGTCTTTTAATACTCTGCTTAGCTTTTGGAAGGCATCTTTGACCATCCCAATGCGCCTTCGGATTTCAGTATCACATTTTTTGTCCTCTTACCAGATATTTAAAGTTGTCTGCTTGTTTGATTTTGGTATCTCCGATTTGTAATTTGCATTTTGGGCTCATCCTGCTTATCTCAAAAATAAGTGTAGATGTCAAACCTAAACTATTATAATATTTATTTGTAATTATCTACATTTTTATTAATTACTAGCAGTAGAGCCCAGCGTTGCCCGGGGAAGTAACAGTAAGAGATAGATTAAGTATCGACCATCATGAAGACTGAAAAATAAAATTGACAAGGATTATTGTTTAAGGTTGATGGACATGCATGTCTTATTTTTTTTTTTTTGTATTTTTTTTTTTTTTACGAATTGGTCAAATCCAAACTTAAACAAAAACATTGTTTTCAATCGTTATTAGGCTACCGATTGAATAGAATTTTATTATAAACAATTGTCTTGTAAATGGAATTTTTAAAGCATTCTGAATGTAAAAATAAAGAAAAAAGTGTGCAAGACAATAAGAAACACTACCTGCCAAAAAAAAAAGTGAAGTTTTTTGTTGAAATCTGTTGAAAATGTAGGAAATCCGATCCCATATATAAACGAACACACACACACACACACACAAACAAACAACCTGGGTTTTATAATAAGTATAACACGATATGAGTTGTCCCCCTTTCATTCTGGTGACAGAATCTTGTTTTAAGTGTTCTCAAATTGATTTTGTGCAAAAACAATTGTGTTTTTCCAATTTTTGGCGCTGTCAGAACCACTGCAAGGTAATTTTACGCAGTCCTGTGAAGTTTTGTTGAAATCGGTTGAAAATTTAGGAAATCCGATCCAATATATAAACGTACACCCCCCCCACACACACACACTTCAGGTGATTGGAATTTCGAACTGAACCCCTTATTTCGTACACCGATTGTTCTAGTTACACGTGCCATACCGATTCCGGATGTCCCGGTTATCTCCCTTTAACTCAACTCACCAACTTTTTGTTCACCACTGCCGTAGCCAGGTGTTGAACTCACAACTCTTTGGGTCAAGTCACAGGATCCAAGCAATGCTTTTATCCAGTTCGTCGGTCAATCTGCCCTCAATAAATCGATTAACGCATTAGGAGAATAAAAAAGACCCGTTGTTAAGGAAATGCTTGTATACAACATTTTATGTTATAAGTAAATAATATACAGGGTGTCCCAAAATAATGTATACACTCTTTAAATATTAATAGTTAATAATATATTAACGTGATGTGAGAACTTATATGGATGAAAATATGAAAAACAGATGGATTGGAAAAAGAGGGTCAGTTGAACACCCACCTAGATCACCAGATTTGACACACTTGGATTTCTTTTTGTGGGGTTTTTAAAAGAGAACGTTTGCAGCAGGAAACCTGAAACAATTGTTGAAATGAGAGTAGCAATTGAAGAAGAATGTGCCCAAATATCAGAGGAAATGATACTAGAAGTTTGTAGGTCTATTTCTTCAAGATATAAAATGTGTATTGAACAGAACGGCAACCAGTTTGAGCACTTGATGCGAATTCATCATTATATGAATATTCTGCCATTGACCCAAATAGCTTTTATTTTATTAAAGTTAATTTTCTATGTTTTTTTTCCCTCAAATTCTTTAAATGTGTATTCTTTCTCTTGTATTAATCTTACAGTCAAAATACATAAATTGAATAAGTTATAACGATTCTAAGAATGTATACATTATTTTGAGATACCCTGTATTTGTTTCAGATCAGATAAACTTTAAATTTGCCAATTTTCCTCAAATAACGTTTCAGAAATATATAGTTTATTTTTGCAAGATTTTTAAAACGTAAAAATAAGTTTTGTTTACAAATGTCTAAAAAATGACTGGTGTGATCAATTTTACTGAAAAAAAAATGCAAGTCTATTCCAATCATTATAATTTATATCTGAAATACACCATACCGGGTATTAAATTTAATCCTTTAGCTTTCATTAAAGCTAAATTGAAAGCTCCAGGAAAACATTTTTAAAAATTCATTTAAACCATACCCAATTCGTGGAGATACCTATTTTAGAATGAACTTTAACCTGTCTACATGTAGTTGCGTGGTGCAAATTTGGTCTATTATCTACAAGGAAAGAATATCTACACCGTGCTAATTTTATTTTGGAATGCTATCTACCTAGTAAGACATATAACATTTATATAACATAACGAAAATGTAATTAACCTATTAAAAAATCATTTATTTATATTCTATCAATAAACAGTGTGTACATCGGCTAAAAAGTACACTGTACATACAAATTTGAATTTGGAATGATATGTAAATATTAAAAGATATAATATGGATCAGATGTAATTAAAATATAAAAAACAATTCTAATTCTCCCGTAAGAGAAAATCACGCACATGTCACTTGTCAATCAACACCTCTGTTAAGACCGGCTTTCTAGCATTTTAAGGTACATTTTTTTCATCGCAGAAAGTAAGTAATGTTTGTTTCAAAATAGACTAAACAACCTTTATAATTTCTAATTTTCTTAAATTAATTTAAAAAAATATATAATTGATGTTTGAAACGAATTTTAAACGGAGACTTTCATTTTTGTAAACAAAAGTTAAAAATATGGCTGACGATCGATTTTCTGTCAATTTTGCTGATAAAAGATTTTTAACGAAAATTTTGGACACGCTAGAAATTATTAAAAAGTATAAAAAAATAATCAAAAAATACTTTGATCTTTCCTGTTGATAATAACATAAACATTTAGACGATAAAAAAATATTTTCCTCATGTTTGAAGCCGTTATTCCTGCTATGCTCATTTCTCAGCGATCTCATGTCCGTACCTAATATTATTAATAATCGTGATAAACTAAAAAAAAAAAAGGCAGCACGCACATCGGCTAAAAATGCTAAAAATAACTTTTCTTGTTATAGATCACGATATAATGTGTAGATCTCATACCAAAGAAGATTTATGATACGTAGATAACAATCAAAGTAGCACCAGTTGCGTTTTTAAATCTGACACTCAACTTTAAAAAAAAAAACACACATCTGTACGTAATAATGTTATGGGAGGTTCTTTTATTTATTCACATTGCGTCGCACTTGATTTGGTGCAGGCTTTGGTGTTCCATTTTTTTTTTAAATTTATTTTTTTAACTCAAACAAATAACGCTGGTCTTTTTTTGATTGTTTTTATTTCATTTCTAATAAAGAAACAAAAGAAATATTTAATTTTGAAAAAGTCTCGTCGACTCAATTTTTTTCGTCAAGCGAGAAAATCTGAGAGTTGACAATGTTTTGAGCGGATGTAATTGAATAACATTTAACAATAACAACGCTGACGTCTGCCGACATTTTTTTTTTTTTTGTCCAGTAAACTTTTGTAGGCAAGTAAAAACATTTCTTCCTTTGCCCCGTGTAACTTTCATGAACTTTAACCTTGATCTTTTAATCCTCAAAATAGAAGTTACTGCTACCATGGACTGTTTAAGAAGATACGGTGTATACTAAAAAATGACATACCCCAACAATATTCCGCCTCTTTTAAACATTTTTTTTTTTTAACTATGACGTTTACTTGTGATTAAAGGCGATGACGGTTATTTAAAGTGAGTAGGATACCACTTCGTAGCAGGGCCGGCTCGTACTATCTACGACCGGTGTGTGTCTGTGCGTGCGTGTATGTTCGGGTGGGGGCAAAACTGGATTGGGGGCATTGCTTTCTGGGCCTCGCTATCTTATCAACATTTGCTTTTTTTCTACCTATACGTTACAAATAAAAAAAGTAAAAACTAAGTATAACTGTCAAAGATTAAAATTATTGGCGGATTTTAACTTTATTATGTGCTCTTTTTTGTCCATATCTGCTGACAATGCATTATCTATTGGTAGATTTTCTAGGCATTTTTAGAAAAATTAGCAATGCTTTAAAAAAAATCAAAAAGATGTAGGAAGGGAGTTAACTCTTCATTGCTAGAGTTTCGGGCCTTGGATTTTTAAGTGTCCATGATTCTAGATCTCGATTATTAAACAAAATAAAAAAAAATAAAAAATTGGGAAATTAAAACAAAAAGTAATATGAGATATAAAATAAATTGAGAAGAAAATATATAATGTCCGGAAAACCAATCATATGTTTATTTAAATATTCTTGTTCTGTAGTTCATATATATTTTTATAAAATCATAAATAAAAAAAACGTTCATACTTATAGTTATTTTAGTGTCACCCGGATATAAGAGACCCGGATATAAGAGAAACCCGGATATAAGAGAGATTTTCTCTGGTCCCAAAGTGTTCCCATACTTACCTAAACAAAATAGACCAAACCCGGATATAAGAGAAACCCGGATATAAGATACTTCTTCTCCAGTCCCGACAACTCTCTTATATCCGGGTTACACTGTACTAAAAAAAATAAAATATCGAAATATGTGAACCAACTACAATGAAATCTTGCATGTTAGTTGTTAGTAACTTAGTTGATTGTTGTTTCTTTTGTGGCATATCAACACCTTTATGCCAAAATCTAAATATGAAAATTTAAACTTTATAATTAATTCAAGAGAATAACATTATTTCATTATTAAATTATAATTACTAAGTTTCATATAATTTTAACAAATAATCTTACAAAATCAAACTAGAAACTTGTTTCTCATTCCAAGAAATAAGATTATAGACACAGCAAATTGTTTTTTTTTTTTCGTTTTTTTTTTTTTTGACAATATATGCCATATATTATTTTAAATTTAAATTTTTTCCATTGTTATTTTTTTTTTTTTTTTTTTTCTAAAAAGAAGGTTTTTTTTCCCATAATTTTTAAAGGTTACTTTATGATCTTATTAGAAGTGCAAAATTTAATTAATGTAAAATTATATACATAATTAAGTTTTAATTAAAATTATTTATTTAAAAGATGCAAGAGAAAAACTTTAACTACAGTAGTTAGCAATATGGAAAGAAAAAATCAAAAGAAAAATATAAAAATTCTAGAGTGAACTAACTGGTTATTGTTCTTCATTTGTCAGAACTTTGTTGAAGAAATTAAAATATTATGCACACTGACAAAAAAAAAGGTAAACATAAAAGAAAATACACACATATATAGGAGCTTAGTTGCCTAATGCGGTTTCTTGCAAATGGCCTTGTGTCAGACTACCAAACTTCTCCGTATAAGAGTATTTTTCTGCCTGTCCACACACCTTGAAAGGGCCGGAATATGCAGGGGTCAAGGCAGAATATAGCTGAGTTTGGACATTTTTGCTTGAAGTTCTTGTATGAAATTTGATGCTGTAGATGGCTCTGGAGTGGATGAGAAATATTGTCCTGGAAGCGACAACGTTGTGAATATGTTTTTATACACAATGACATGGTTAAGCGACCTCTTACCCCTGCATATTCCGGCCCTTTCAAGGTGTTGACGGGTAGAAAAAATACTCTTACATGGAGAAGTTTGGTAGTCTGACACAAGGCCATTCACAAGAAACTGCACTAGGCAACCAGGCTCCTCCCATAGATTGGTGACCCTGACATGATGCCCGTAGATCCTCTCTTACTCGTGGATACTTTTTGGCGGGTATCCAATGAGTCATGTGGTCATTTGACCGGTGGCAAAATGCCAACTGTCCAAAGAACTTTGAATGCATGTTCGTTCCAAAATGGTCATGTGCCTTAGCATCAAAAGTGTTGGGTCGTTGCTTACAGGGTAGAAATGATGATGAAAAGAGAGAAAAAGAAATGGTTCGAGGCAAACGATGATGGTAGGAGGGGTGTGCCAATACATATCAATAATATATTGACATGCATATAGCTATAAAGAAACCACACTAAGTCCTAACAAACAGTCCCTTTGTTTGCATAAGGATGGTTGTCTTTATCTGTCTATATTTCCGAAATGAGGTATTATGTACATTATTTACATTATTCGGACACATGGCACAGTAGATAAAGGCGTTACTTAGATCCAGTGACAGGACCCAAAGAAAGTAAGTCCAATACCCGGCTAAGGCAGTGGAGAACTTTCAGAGGGAAACTAACAAGAGATAAACTGATAACTGACATCCATTAAAGATGGCATGTGGAACTAGAACAGTCTACCCCAGTGAGCGAAATAAAGGGTTCAGTTTGACATTCCAACCACCTGACGAAGGCCGGAGCATACAGCGGCCGAAACGTTGTAATAAATATGGCAACAAAGATGAGGAAAATAGTTCGAATAATGTAAATAATGGTTGTCTTTAATTAATATAAATCGTCTGAATACCTTTGTGAGATTACTCTACTTGTCTGTTAAACAACTCCTGCTAACATCTGTAAGATGGCATTGGTAAAGCATCATATAAAAAAAGTGGGCCAAAATCCACCTTTTTTCTTTACCCATAGGAAACATTAGAGTTAAGACAGATCTTGTCCCTTTAGGGAGAACTTTTTGTTTCCAGGAAACCTCATGTCACATTGAACACAACACAGAATAGTACAGTAAACATGATTTTGCATTTAATGCAACATTGCATAGTGCATTTCATACAATGCCTTAAACTTGACAAGAAAGAAAATCTCAACATTAACAAATAAAAAGAAATGTAAAGATTAATAAATGCAACTTATGATAATATATTTATCTGTATAAATAATAAATATTTTTATATCGAAAAGCTTATGTTTAACAATTGTACGCACATAAAAGCAATATGTTAAAAGGACTGTTATTCCCTTGTCACTGCTATTACTGTAAACACTTTTGACTCCCTTAGTAATGCAAAATACATAATATTATATGTTTATTCAAAATTTCTTGTTTTATAGTTCATCAATATTTTTATAAAATGATGAAGAAAACACTTGTTTTCATAGTTATTTATAAAATGGTGAATAATAAATACTGTATTGTTGTTGGTTTACATATTTTGATAATTTTCTATAAAATTTAATAAAAAGATTTTTTTTCAAATTTCTTTTTTTATAAAATGGTAAATAATAAATATTGTATTGTAGTTGGTTTACATATTTTGACAATTTTCTATAAATTTTTTGATAAAAAGATTTTTTCAAATTTCTTTCTTTATAAAATTATAAAGAATAAATATTGTATTGTAGATTGTTTACATGTTTTGATAAATTTCTATAAATTTTTTAATAAAAAGATTTTTTAAAAATTTCTTTCTTTATAAATTGTAAATAATAAATCTTGTAGTTGGTTCACAAATTTTTATAATCTTGTAAATAACCATTGCTGAGGGAGTGAAAGCTGCTTACAGTTATAGCAGTGTTTAAGGAATAACTGTCCATTTGACAGACCATTTTTTGTGGACACAAAAGTTAAACATTGCTATTTTTTTCAAAATAAATATAATATTTCATGGATATCATCCTAATAAAAAATGTAATATTTCATGGATGTCATCTTAATAAAAAATTATAATATTTCACAAATATCATCCTAATAAAAAATATAATATTTAATGGATAACAGAAGAATATAATATTTCATGGATATCATCTTAATAAAACAAATATAATATTTTACGGATGTCATCTTACTAAAATAATATATTATTTCACAAATATCATCTTTCATAGATATCATCTTAATAAAAAAATATAATATTTCACGGATGTCATCTTAATAAAAAAATAAAATATTTCATGGATGTCATCTTAATAAAAAAATTATAATATTTCACAGATATCATCTTAATAAAAAAATATAATATTTCATGGATATCATCCTAATAAAAAAATATAATATTTCACAGATATCATCTTAATAAAAAAATATAATATTTCATGGATATCATCTTAAAAAATTACAATATTTCATGGTTATTATCTTAATAAAAAAATTATTTCTCTTTTAGTTTCTTTTTCTCATACTCTTTCATCATCAATATTTCCATACTTTATCAAAACAATTACAGGTAAATTGTAAATTATATTTTAAAAATTGTAAATTATGTGTTAAAAATTGTAAATTATATGTTAAAAATTGTAAATTATATGTTAAAAATTGTAAATTATGTGTTAAAAATTGTAAATTATGTGTTAAAAAAGTCATTGAATGTCACTGTCTTATATCTTTCTTTTTTAATATCATGTCCTTTTAGTATGTAGATGATAATTGCTATCCTAAGATTCCTTTTGGTTAGTTGGTTAGTAGTATATCAACCACTATAGGCTATTGATTGCTGAAATCTAAGTATTGTATGCAATTTTATTTTATTTATTTTTAGATAATAATGGTTGCTTAGGGATACAAGTTTTAATAATTAACCAATAGCTGGGGGAGAGAAGAGGTGGATTCATACTTTTCCCAATGAGTTTTTGCACATAAGCAAATATAATGAACATGATAGGAATTGGAAATTGACTCTTTGATTGACAATTCTTTCTTGACATGAATTTTCATATCCAACAAGACCCTCTATTAATTTTTGATGTTCCTAATGTGTAATCTATAAATCTCTTATGAAAAAAAATGGATTATTCCTTCTCATACACCCTATTATTCACCCCTAAGTTAATTTTCATTTTAAATGAATTTGGTATTTACTTTGTCAACTGCTAAGTTCTGCTTAATAAGTATGCAAACTTCCCTAGATCAGAATTTCACTCACCAAGCATTAGAAAATGGAGTGGAGGGATTCACTCACCAAGCATTAGAAAATGGAGTGGAGGGATTCACTCACCAAGCATTAGAAGATGGAGTGGAGGGATTCACTCACCAAGCATTAGAAAATGGAGTGGAGGGATTCACTCACCAAGCATTAGAAAATGGGTGGAGGATTCACTCACCAAGCATTAGAAAATGGAGTGGAGGGATTCACTCACAAAGCATTAGAAAATGGAGTGGAGGAATTCACTCACCAAGCATTAGAAAATGGAGTGGAGGGATTCACTCACCAAGCATTAGAAAATGGAGTGGAGGGATTCACTCACCAAGCATTAGAAAATGGAGTGGAGGGATTCACTCACCAAGCATTAGAAAATGGAGTGGAGGGATTCACTCACCAAGCATTAGAAAATGGAGTGGAGGGATTCTATTGAATCATATTGTTACATCTACTGCTATGAAAATTGGTTTACTTTCTCTAGCCAGAAAATTTTTCTCATCAGAATCAATTTTGCACATTTTTAAATCTACAATTCCTTTGTGCTTTGAATATTGCTGCCATATATGGTCTGGTTTTCTTACTAAATATCTTGAGATTTTAAAGAAAATACAAAGGGTCTGTAATCAATCCTAAATTGGTATTTTGACTTCATCATCATTTCCTCACTGATGTGACGTGTCTTCCCTCTGGCTTTTCTACAAAATATTGAATATATGATAGTAATTAGCAAACCCTAAAATGCTTGTTATATTTGTTGGAGTGGGTATGTCCTTCATTTAAGTCTTGAAGAATCAGGTCGTCTACTATATTCATCGATAATTTCTCCTAAGATATTTAAGTCTACACATAAACAATTCGTATTTTCCTTCACTGATCTTAAAGCCATATTCTTTAATTCTCTGGAATACATTTTTACATCTTCTGCATGTTGCTTTCGTGTCTTGTTTTTTATAAGTACATCATCCAAATATACTTAAGCACGATCCAAACCATCAAGCATGGTATCCTATATCTGTTGGAATATGCTTGGTGCTACCTTTATATCGAAAGGAAATCGATTGAATTTGTATAATCCTCTATGAGTGTTAATTGTTAATAGTTTTTAGCAGTCTTTGTCTAATAGTACTTGTAGATAACCATCTTGAAGGGTCAATTTAGAAAAAAGATTTACCTCCTTTCAATTTGGCAAAAATTTCCTCTGGCCTTGGTAACGGAAAGTTATGTTGTTTTAAACTTTCATTTAACCCCATTGAAAAATCAGCACATACGTGGATTTTATTATTTCTTTTTTTTTCAAACTGTTGGTGATGCCCATTCGGAATAGTCTATTTTTGAGATCACACCTAATTTTTCTAGTTTGTCCAATTCATTATTAATTGGATCTAAGGCCGCAAAATGTACACTATTTTTTGGCTTAAATGTCAGTGTTACATTCTCTTTTAACTCAAACTTAGCTTTTGCTTTCATGCATGTACCTAGACCTTCTGAGAAAACTTCTGGAAAATTCTTTTTCAGTTCATTTTTCAATTTTTTTAGTCGCCATATTAGTACTAGTTGTAACAACATTTATCTTGTTGTAAAAAGAGTTAATTGGAAGGTCCCAAAGATCAAATAATGCAATCCAGTCTGTTCCAAACAAATTATCAGTATTCTTTAATACAAACACAACCGCTTTTTTTATTTTCCCATAAAAAAACAACGTTAAAGCTGAATTCACCTAAAAAGTTCAATCTCTTTCCTAAGACTCCATACGCAACTTTATGAGAAGTCAATTAACTGAGTTTAGCCATTTTTCTCCATACATGTTCATTTATGATAGTAATATCAGATCCTGTATCTAGTTGCAATTTTAACATCAGTAATTTTCACAAAATTTTAACATCAATAATTTGCACAAAAACAAATTTCCTCTTTTGAGATGTCTTGTTAATTTCACTTTTAGCCTTTGTCTGGATTGTACACAAATTCGCTGATTAAATTAGCAACAGTATCTGGCGTGAATGAATCTGAAGTTTTTCCTTCCATAGGTTTGGTAAACTTATAAAACATCTGCTGTTGTAGTTGTAATTGTAATTGATGTTCAGTTTGTTGCTTTTGTTGCTGTAAATATTGTTCTTGTTGTAATGTTTGTTGCTGCCACTGTTGTTCGTGTTGTTGCTTCTGTAGTGCCAACATTTGACCCATGATAGCTTTTAGTTCTTCCATTTTGCTGTACTCTGCGGAACATATCCTCGCGTAAGTTCAAGGAATCCTTGTGAATCCTTGTCGTTACTGTTGCAATGTCAACGAACACTCGTTTAACACTTTTGTGATGTCAACAAATACTCGTTGTCACTTTCGTAATGCTCGTTGTAGTTGAGACTTTGTAATCGCAGATACAACTATAGTACGCGGTTGAACAATACTGGTGTCAGACACCTTCGAATATCACTCGCACTAATAGTACTTGCTCGATAATAATCGCTCAAATAGTAATCCTTATTGTAATCCGAATAGAGAAATAGTATAGTGAATAGAATAGAGAATAGCGATCCGAATAGTAATAGAGGATAGACTAGAAATAGTGATCGTTAGTCGTCAGCGACTTCCTACATATAGGCGTTTCCTCTATGGTCACGTGTTCTTAAGTCAATGATGGGATCGCCTGTGTTTGTCCACTGGCGTCTATGTTCAAACTCAAGTGTCAACAGCGACACTTTATTCCTATATAACACTTTGATAGTTTTTTTTTTTTTTGTATTTCTTTCTTTCTTGTATTTTGTTAAAATAAAACCGTGTAAAAATACTACAACTGATAAAAATTGGGTGGGGTGGAACCAAGGCCCCCCACCGCGCTGGCTATTATGACTCTCTACCTGCTGCCTTTATTATAGAATTTTGCATTTATTTTGGCATTATTTTGGTATTATTTTTCTTTTTTTTTTCTTTTTTTTTTTTTTTACAGGTGTAAAAGAAGTTAATCATCATGGAGATTTTCCATCAACTTCAATTTGGTATCCTCGCTTGTGCCTTGTTCCATCTGACCAGTACTGACAAAATTCTTTTTTTGTCTCTTCCTTATTTTGGCCACCTAAACCCCATGGTCAAAGTGGCTGTAGAACTGTCAAACCTTGGCCACTCTAGCTTTATCATAATCTCGGAGAAGTATAGATCAAATTTCGGGAATGTAAAAAATGGAGTCAGTTTCCTGGTTGTTGATGAATTTCCAGAAATTGCTGCTTTCGACAAACTTTGTTTGAAACTATTTTCATTTCAAGGTGAAGTTTCTGAGAGAGAAACATTTCAGGCTTTACACCGCGTGTGTGACCGATATCTTTTTGATGAAGATCTTTTCTTGAAATTGAAATCATTTAATGCCTCTCTTGCGATCATCGATGCAAACTTTATGAGCAACTGTCTGGTTGTTTTTGCATACAAACTCCGCATTCCTTTTATAGTGTTCGGGATTCACAATCATGTCAATATCCACCGGACGCCGTGGGCGTTTTCTGTTTTCCGTCACATGCTTTCACTTCAACCGAAAGGGACACCTTTCTTCCAGAGAATTTCCAATACCTTAGCTAACGTGCGAGACTATTTACGACCAGCGATTGGCTCACCTGGCAGAAGCATCAAAGACTACGTTCCAGGACGTCCGGATATTCCTTTCGAGGATCTTTTTCGCCAAGCCGAACTGTTTATTGTTGATTCTGACGTATTCTTAGACCCGGCTTTACCAGCACTTCCAAATGTCAAATACATTGGAGGAATGGCTTCACAGCCAGCTGAACCCCTTCAAGGAAACATCCTAGATTTCATCAACGCTTCCAAAAACGGAGTCATCGTTGTATCTCCAGGAAGTCTCATCAGTTGGGAAATCCATGCAAGAAAAATGGAAGAAGCATTCAGTAAGATTAAATACGATGTTGTCTGGAAGCATTCAAATTCTTCTTATTCCCGCCCGAATGTTCTATTAACAAAATGGCTGCCCCAGAATGACCTTCTTGGCCATCCAAATACCAAATTGTTTATCACTCATTGTGGCAACAGTGGTCAGTATGAAAGCCTCTACCACGCTGTTCCCATGATTGGCTTTCCTGTTTTTGCTGACCAACCTTTTAATGGCTATCGGATGCAGATAAAAGGTTATGGAATATCGATGGACATGTATACGTACACGGTGGACGAGCTAGTAAAAAATATCAAAGAAGTTATTGAAAATCCCAGATACAAGAAAAACATTGCAAAAGCTAGCATGATATTTCGATCTCAGAAAGAACGTCCGGCAGAAAAAGCAGCCCGCCATATTGACGAGATTATGAAATATGGAGGCGACCATTTGAGATCAGAATGCCAACATATTCCATTATATCAATTTTTAATGTTAGACATCTGGGCTGTTCTTTTGTCGGCTACTTTTCTATTTGTGTTCGTAATTGTTTTTTCTTTGCGGAAATGTTTTAAATTAGTTTGTTGTAGAAAGAAAACAAAAGTCGAATAAGATTTTGAAAATATTGAAATAATACACGGATGTTAAGAGTTATACGTTATTCTATTGATATTTTTAATAAATGTAACATGATAGAAATAGAATAAAATTGTTCTGCTTGGTTTGGTTGTTAAAAGATACACATCCGTAAATATACAGGATGTATGGATGGAGATAAGCGAAATAACTTGTAAAATAGCAAAACAATTTAAAATTTTAAATTGCGGGCGATTTAGAATAACAGTATGGTTACTATTATTATTTTGGTATTTCTTTCAAAGAATTGGGAACACATGTTGGAAACAGGAACAGTTTTTTAAAGACTGCTTCATGTGTTTATTAACTCTTTGAGATTTTTTTTTAACTGGAGGAAAGATCTGAGATATTTCATAACTGTCTTATACATTTTGATACGGCGAAAATGGTTTGATCTCAATTTTATTCAACTGTATTTTTTAATAAAAAAAATATTTTTATGATCTTTTACTTCATATAAAACTGACTGTAATGAGATGAAAAATGTCAGTAACCCTTCCCATTAAGTGGTGTAAAATAATCTGTCTTCACTTGTACAGCGTAAAACAGACGGCAATTTTATATCTTTGTTATATGGTGTTCTTCTAGGACACGTGATCAGTAGTCAACTAACGATATTTATTGTACAAATATGGCACAAGGCCAAAAATGGGGTATAGAGAAGTCTGGTCTTTATACGTTTTATACTAAAACTGAACTAGCCACAATCACTGACCCAAACATACCACAATAGTCCTTACACCAAAAAAAAAAAACACAAAAAAAAAACACATTATTACTTACCATTCTTACTACGGCCATTATAATATATCAGAGACTCTTCAGTCAGTTATGTGCTATGCATGATACACGCTTAGGCAATTGTGTATCTTTCGATACATGTCTGACGATATTTTCCCACAGTAGGTTGCCATTTTTTCTGTGGTAGACTAGTTGCCTTCCAAGGCTATAGAACCTGGTCTGTCCTGCTATTTACTCATAGCTGGGTGGGATTTATACCGTTTCCAGGGTATAAGCACGTAAGTGAATGTAATGGATTCGACTGGAATTCGAACTCGGCTCTCCGATTTCTCAATCCTAGCCGCTATCCATTGCTCCAGATTGCCCCCTTATGATGTTTTAACTAGATCCCATATGTACAATTTGTCTGTGACAGAGGGAGGGAGTAAAAATAACAACTTTTAAAAATTTATGACCTCTGAATATTTATAAGGAAAACAAGATTTATTTATGAAACAAAATAGTTTTAGTAATAAACCCCACTCCACAATCCTTAAATGTGGCAGAAACATCAGTTAACTGGAGGAAATTAATGCAAGACTTTAAAAATACAATCATTTGACCCCCACACTCACTCAAACACACACTCATTTAACACCACAATAAATACGAAAAACACTTGAAAAAACATTCGAAAAAACAAAAGGCGTCCCCGCATCCGCCAGAGAACTAACTTGTCACCTAACGGGGGAAAAAGAGGGAGAATTAAACTAAAGAAAGTGAGGACAAAAATAAATGGGGCCAATTAAGTATACATCCTCTAGCTAAGCTAACTTTGGTAGTCAAGTAAATTTACTTGGTACTTCATTTGTCCTCTAGCCAACATATGCATTTAAGTAAAATCCTCTTCGTCAATCCCAGTACAATCTTTAAATGATTTTTTTTTCATCGTAAGTATCCTTATGGATAATGGCGGCCTAGATATTGAGTATTCAGTGTTATCAAGTGGGGTTCGGGAAAGTGCTTTTTAGTTGAAGTACGGATCATTGAGCAGAGACAATTGTGCGCTATATTCGTCTTGGAAGTCATATTGTTTCAGATGGCTAGATTGCTTATGCTACAAGTGAGGATATCCACCATGGAATATACTCTCAAGACGTCATTATTCAGCAGCAGCAGCAGTTTGATGATCCTGTAGCACAAGAGTAGTCCCGTGTTTTCGGTATTTATTTGCTGTGTAGTATACCATTACCGGTTGTAATAATGTTTAATTGTAATAAACGTGTATACCTTAGTCTTATTGGTTTTACACTGTTAAGGGAATGGCAATTTATTTTACACTGCTTCAGTGAAGGGCTACCAAAATTTCATGTTTTTATTTTTGTCTGTCTTTTAGTTTAGTGGTGAGACGAAGAAAGAAAAGCCCAGTTCGCTTTGGTTATGGTTGAGAGATCTCCATCGATTGGACGCCAAACAACGGATGAAGAATAAGAAAGCGAAAAACCCACTTTATTATATTGCGTCTGACCACTTCTTATCGCACAAGGCGAGAGGTATTTGAGAGCAAATATCTTTTTTCTAGATGAATATTGGAAATTTTAGATATGTATTCCCTGATGAAGGAGGCACGGATTGAGGAATCGCAGAGCCTAGCCATTGAGTATTTGGTGGGATCAAATGGAAAAGTGCTTTTTAGTACCGGATCGCTGAGCAGAGACAATTGTGCGTTATATTCATCCTGGAAGTTAAATTGTTTCAGATGGCTGGATTGCTTATTCTAGAAGTGAGGATATCCACCATGGAATATACTCTCATGACGTCATTATTCATCAGCAGCAGTTTGATGATCCTGCAGCACAAGAGTAGTCCCGCGTTTTCGGCATTTATTTGCTGTGTAGTTTACCGTTACCGGTTGTAATAATGTTTAATTGTAATAAACGTATATACCTTGGTCCTATTGGCTTTACGCCGTGTAGTGAATAGCAGTTTATTTTACGCTTCTTCAGTGAAGGACTACGAAAATACTGTTTTTTGTCTGTCTTTTAGTTTAGTGGTGAGACGAAGAAAGAAAGGCCAGTTCGCTTTGGCTATGTTGAGAGATCTCCATCGATTGGACGCCAAACAACAGATGAAGTTTATTCTGAAATAAGAAAGTGAGAAACTTATTTTATCATACTGCGTCTGAACAATTCTTATTGCACAGAATATAAGGCAAGAGGCATTTAAGAGTAAATGTTTTTCCCTGGACGATTCTTGGAGACTTTAGATATGCATTCTCTGGTGACAACAACTTAATCACCATGTGCATCAATTAATACTAATTAAATTTAATGGTGCACTCGTAACAAATAAGGAAAAACAAATTTTTAAACAGTGTTTGTAAATTCATTAGAATGTCGTATCCTGTTGGCACTGCCAAATTTTTCTATAAACAACAGGAAGAAAAAGCTTAACCGGCGTTCTTGCAAGACTTTTTCAGGATATAAAGAGGCCTCAAAAGTACCCCCCCCCCAAAAAAACAAAAACAAAAAAAACTAGCGTTCTGCAGCCATGCCGTGGGATGCGTATCATCGTTAAGTTGTGTCTCTGTCTTTGGGCAGTGTGAGAATTAATTGTGGTTCTGTCCGCGGACAGATATGGAACTGAGGAAAATAATACTATGAGGTGTCCGGCCTGGGGAATATCTGCCCGAAGCTGCATCCCCTCATTGCACTAGAGAAGGGTGTCGGCGGTCGTCACCGAAGTTAGCCCAACCGACGGTTGCGCAATTTTTGTACTTGACCTGAGTGTACGCGCTCGGCTTCCCCACATTAAGCCTGACCTTGGGTCACATCCCGTCTCAGTGGGGTGGTATTGGTAAATACCCAAGCATATCGTGGCCTGCCAGGGAATACTTATCTCTCACTAGTGTCTCTATCAGAGTGCGACTCAGTTGTGTCTCTGTTCGCGGACAGAGATTCAGCTGAGGAAAATAATACTTTGAGGTGTCCGGTCCTGGGGAATAGCTGTCCTAGGCTGCACCATTTCCTTACACTAGAGTGTGGGGATTAGTCAACGCCACGGAGGCTACCGCAACTTACAGTTGTAGGGGCTTGTACAATTTTTGTACTTAGTCCAAATGTACACCCTCGGGTTACCCACGTTAAGCTTGGCCTGTGTCGTATCCCGTCCCAATGGGCACTCATGGGTAAATACCCAATCGTTCTGTGGTCAGGACGACGTGGATCAAAGTGTAGTATCTGTTGCAGCAGCCGACAGGCATCACACAGCTCTAACCCTCAGCAGCAGTTCCAGCTAACCTGCCATTATCATCATTAGCTTGTTATCGGCCGTCGCTTCAGCCATCTTCAGTAGGCAGCTGCTCCAGGTGTCTCCAGTAGGCCTCCAGTTCCTGCCACTTCAGCTCGCTCCAACAGGCTTCCTGCTCCAGTCATCTTCGCCAGCAGCAACGATATGCAATACTCTGTCCTTTTCAGGACAAAGCTCTCTAGCGACCACAAAACTCTTCTGTCGGGATAACGCTATCTAGCGAGAACAAAACTTCTTTTCAGGACAATGCTCTCTAGCGACCACAAAACTCTTCTGTCAGGATAACGCTATCTAGCGAGAACAAAACTCTTCTTTTCAGGATAACGCTCTCTAGCGACCACAAAACTCTTCTTTTCAGGATAACGCTCTCTAGCGACCACAAAACTCTTCTTTTCAGGATAACGCTCTCTAGCGACCATAAAAGTCTCCTTTTCAGGAGAACGCTATTCTCACTCTCTACCTGAATTTGCAGAATTATTTTTTGCTCAGTGCACTGTAACATTATTTTTTTTTAATGTATTTTCTTTAACAAAAATAAACTTGGCAATATATCTTTTTTAATCAAGTTTTCGTTTCGTTTGTTGTCTTCCGTCATTGAATATCAGTTTGCCGGCTACTATATCCGACTTGAAACAAGATCATCCTTAAATCATCACATTTGTTAGAAGTGAAAAATATCGATTCTTTTATTCTTTTAGAATTCAGATCCTGTTCATAATATACATAACTACTGTGTCAAATCGATTCCTGACTTCTTAAATAGTTATCAATGCTTTGTTTTTATTTATAAGTCGACATTACGTCATTGATAAGTGCGTATTGCTGATGACCTTTTTCTCAGTTCGTAATAGTATATGCATATCATTGTCTTTTTTTTAAAGCGTTTCACCCCAAGCAAGGCGGGAAGCCACTAGGACGCAAGGGATTACAGAGAGTTGGAGAGAGAGAGAGCAAATAGGAGTGACAGAGGAGAGGATGAAGAGAAGGATAGGGAATAGATCAAGGCATCTGGAGACGTCGATTAACATTACATTTGAATAGTTGGAGATTATAGCTATCAGGGAAGCAGGAAGAGGGGTGAGAGTTCCACAGGTGAGATGTGCGAGACATGAAGCTATTGGAGTAGAAGAGACGGCTACATTTAACAGTTTCGACAGTGAAAGGGGGTGAGCGAGATGCCAGCCTAGTAGAACGCTTGAATTCATTAAGCACGGTTTGCGACTTGACATTTGTAAATAAAAAATAAAGTTCAAAAAACATTTTCTTTTAGCCAGGTCTCGATTTGGTACTGCATTTACACTATGACTATTCTGAAATGATTATAGAATCGATACTTTTTTTTTATTGTAACAAGTGTCATGGCTTCAGGAAGGTATTCTATCGAACAAAAATTGTCAGTAAATTTCTTCCTTTTTTTCATGAAACCAGTCAATTTAAATATTGTCAGTCAATGACTTGTTTGCATGCATTGCTGTCATTCAGTTATCCGTCAAACTGATGTCTCCTTTGAATATATGACACATCGGCATATTACCCTTGTCGTGTCTTTTACACTCTTCTATATAAACCGGGTGTTAATTGCTTGAGGATCCAAAACAGAATCCGAAAACGCATCTCTTCGCATCAAGGCTCGAAGCATGTTTTGGGTATTAAACGAAATAAAATGAACTATATATTAGTCAGTAAAAATGACTCCCACTAAAAGACCCAAACTGTGATTTGGAGCCGATACGACTGATATAAATTCCCCGATTCAACGCCGCAAACGGCAGATACCCAGCTGAGATGTCGACACGCAGAGGCTGGCCGAGAACGCAGCAGACACACTGAACTCGATGTTATCAATATCAACATTCAAGGCCGATGCCGCCATCTTCACAGAACATCAGTCGACAGCCACCAACATTCTTTCTCCTTCTCTTTCTCTTTCTTTCCTCCTCTCCCACTCTGTTGCCCTTTAAAACAGCAACGGGTATTAGTTTGATGGCTTTGCATATATAAAACTAGCATTATCATTCGGCGTTCTAACCATTGATTAAAAAATCTTACGACTCATACAGCAACTTTATCACTTGACTTAAAATATTTTTGCCCTGAATAGATATATATTTAAAGGAGTGCCCTATACCGTGCTGATGTTACACATGCCTTATTTTCTTGTCTATCTCACATGAATTTTTTCTAAGCCCTATACTAAACATTAAATATGTTACGAAAAAAGAACTAAACAAAATGAACACAAAACGATCAGCTTTTAAAAAGGACTCGTAACTGGAAAACTGTCCAAAAAAAGAATGTTAACAACAAATACATTTTTTCACACCAACCCAGTTCTGCGGAATCAGAATCAACGTTGAGTTTAAGCAAGCGAATGAGCCAGTTGGAGTAAAGTGCCATGCAGATTTAAATTTTTCCCATTAATTGACGAATGCAGCCCATCGATTTTTTTTGCATGCAGAGCATTTACATCTTTATTTTTCATATCAAAAATTTGGCTATCACGCTGGCCAATAGAATCTTCCTGCCTATTCGTGGTAGCCTGCTATAAGTTCTCATCTCTGGCCTTTTAGAAAATATAACCGCAAATTTACATGAAAAGTCGTTCTTAAAATTTTTGTTTTAACTTGGAGCATGTGCATGTATATTTTGGTGCAAATCCGTCTATATGTTATATATAATATATATATACACATACACACACACACACACACACACACACACACACACACACACACACACACACACATCCTGCCTTTTATAGATAGAGATAAATTATGCATTTATTTACCCAAAATACGATGTATTCCTTTTCCTTAAATTCATATTTGTTGAGGCGAAGAAGAAATTAACCTCTACAGCAGTAACAACAACATCAAGTTCTGTCTTCCATGTTACCCATTCTTCGCTTCTGCAACACCCTTGTAATGTGGATAACTGTAGTCGACATGCTTTGAAACAGTAGTTAAAAGGATCGCGAAACGTTATCCTTGTAGTTATATATTTTTTTATTAATCTTAGTGTGGTTCATTGTAAAAATAAAAAAATAAAAAAAAAGAATTTATTTTAAAAGATTATATGACACCAGTCTTCCTAGTGGAGAGAACTTACCTGATTTGAAAATGAGGATTCAATATTTTTT